TGGGGATCTCGGTTATTCATTGTTAACCCACTAATGCCGGTCTATTTTGAAGCTGAAAATAATCTTTTCCAGGCTACTAAATCGGTGCACACGGGCGGCCCGGAATCTGCCCGCGCACTAGCCGCGGCCCACGACATATTCAGAACCCAAGCTCCAATCCAACGTCACACTGACGGGACACCCAGCAATGTTTATTTTTCCAGGTGTCTCGTATATGGGACACCCATCGTAAATGGGTTAATATGGATCTGAAAATGCAATGAATAACAATGCAACAAAGAGTAATACAAATATGTCACTGGAGTACATTATAACAGGGTGTAATTTTGAGCAGTACTGACATCCAGTGGCTTGCTAATGTCTATGTCTATTCTTAACATAATACCAAAAGAGAGAGTAAAACCTACATTTTTGAAATAAGAAAAGTTAAAACATTCCATGCTCAATATGATCCCATTTAACCCCTTACTGATGGATAAAACTATAGCCGTCATGACTAACAAGGGAGCAGGTGGTTCGGCTGTACATAGCACACACGCTGCCAGAAAGACTAAACTGTTGCATAATTATTACCTCACAGAAAATTCTGGCCCCACCATGATAGGGTTCATTGCCGAAAGCAACTATATCCAAGATGAAAAGTGTCTTAAAATTCATCAACCAATCCATTCTATGTACTTTTACTTATAAGTGGTGGGTAGCATATGCAATAAAATCAATCACTACAATAAAAGCACTCCAAGTTCTTATGCTACTGATATGCAAAACATTTCATTTAGGAAGTTAGTGATATTGTTACAACACTCTATTCTGTTGTAACATGAAGGTCTGATGGGAACATAGGCTGTCTGGTAAATATTAGTTTCTTAACATACCTATACATTCAGTTATGCCTAAAACTATGTTACATTAATGTTAATGAATCATGCAGACAACATGCATCATGTAAAGAGAACCTTCCATTACTGTTCTTTCTGGTAATCATGGGGCAAAAGCAGGTAAGCTGGAATTTGGTATTTGTTACACAGCACATTGATGTGTGACAAAGATAGGACCTTTTTGTTGCTTGATGAATGATTATGTAATTTTTCAAATCATTCCTAACTAAATTTGGATTTTTAAGAAATGGATAGTATCCCTAAAATACATAACCTAGTGCTAATGCCCTGTTTTAAGTCCTTTGATCCAGATGACATGACCATCATGTCCCAAAAGAATCTGGCATGAGGGGCAGGTGACGTGAACATACCACCATGGGAAAAAATGCCATGGGAAGGGTGATGCAAACTTGCCATCATAAGCAAAGAAAGCGGTTATGGAAAACACTCGCCACAAGTGCGCAAACTACTTGGAGGGTGATTGCACTTATTTGGTGTTTGGAAAGGTGTTTTAGCATAATTCCCATTCATAAACGAGTGTGGAATGTAGAGTCTATGAGCCATGACTGGAAGAGCATTGACTCTAGGGGGGTCACAATTTCTATCCTCTGCATCATATTCCTGGCTGCCTTGACTGGCGGCGCAGGTTGTACTACAGAAAATTTAATATTATGAAAAAAATGTAAAAATGACACAGATAAAGTGTAGCATATTTCTATTTTTCTGAGTTATTTACTATCTAGAGGGATGATATGGAGTCTGGGCATTTAAACAGTCTAATACCACATGGATAAAGCAAATCAAAAGACAAATATAAACATTAGAAAATGGTAAAAGAAAGGTAAAAACACTGACTCATAAAAAGAGAAAATATTATTACAAAGGGGAGGCAGACAAGTGTTTGTTTGTGCCTGGTCTATAAGTCGTACACCCAACAGAGCTGTCAGTCATGTAAGCTTAATGCTCATATTTTGATTCATATGATTAACATGGAGCAACCAGATCCAAGGGGGTTAAACGACTAACAAAAACACTAAAAAAATAACTAAAACCTTACTAGCATTTCAAAGTGAAAATTAATTCATGAAAGGTATGAAATGGGAACACACATGATGCAAATCAGCATTGGTAGACAAAAGTGATTGGTACCTTGTACAACGAGCTTGAAAAATAGGAAGCTAAAAAATAAAGAATTGAGGAAGCAAATAAAGAAGATGAGAAAAGGAGATAGGAGGGAGAAAATAACAAAAATGAGATGGAGGAGAGGAGGAGGAGGAGGAGGAGGAGAGGAGGAGAGGAGGAGGAGGAAGAGGAAGAGGAAGAGGAAGGAGGAGAGGAAGAGGAAGAGGAAGAGGAGGAGGAGGAGGAAGGAGGAGGAGAGGAAGAGGGAGGAAGGAGGAGGAGGAGGAGGAGGAAGAGGAGTAGGAGGAGGAGGAAGAGGAGGAAGGAGGAGAGGAGGAGGAAGAAGAGGAGAGGAGGAAGAGGAGAAGAGAGGAGGAGGAGGAGAGGGAGGAGGAGGAGGAGGAGGAGGAGGAAGAGGGAGGTAGACAAAGATATGAAAAAAAAAAAGGAAAATGAAAACACATGAAACAAAAGAAAATGCAGAAGACAGATTTACTTAC